ATGAGGTGAAGAAGGATGAGGTTTGTTTCAGGATGAGGTGTGATAGGATGAGGTGTTGATCAGGGATGAGGTTGTAAATAGGGAGTGGCTGTTTGTTTAGGAACTGGGTGTAGATAAGGTATGAGGTTGTAGTAGGATAGGTGTTGAACAGGATGAGGTGTAGTAGGACTGGCTGTTGTTTAGATGAGGTTGTAGAAGGATGAGGTTTGGTATATGATGGGTGTAGATAGGATGGGATGTAGAACAGGATCGTTGTGAACGGATTATAGAGTAGGATGAGGTTGTGATCAGGATCAGGTGTAGTAGATGCGGTTGAGATCGGATAGGTTTTGTTGATAGTAGGTGTGTTCAGGATGTGGCTGTAGATAGGATGGGTGTAGGAGTAAAGGTGAGAAAAGAAATAAATTAAAGATATATTTACAAATGATTTTAGGAATTAGTTCTCTTTCGTGTGTCTGAAGTTTATGAATAAAAAAGGAGGGGGATATGGATAATTAGTTATCTGGAAAAAGATTGGCTTTTGTAGTTTTTTATAGCAGTAGCATACTAATATGGCCGTAGATTGAAATACTGGGACGGAGGTGAGTAGATGATAGGGTGTGTATAGATGGGAAGTGGTTTTAATGCTGAATGGAGATGACAGTGAGGAAGTGTTTAGTGTAAAAAAGTGGAAAGAGGGGGTTTCGTAGCACACATGAGTGAAAATGTAGACTTTTATTTTGAATTTGGTGAGATGGGATATGATTTCTAAGTGATAGTAAAAAAAGCACATGAAGATGCATTGTACAGGTGAGAGAGTGAGGTCATAGATAGCTAGTATAGTAGAAGGCAGATAAAAAGAAGATAGTAGATAGCTAAAGAGACGATAGAAGCTGATAGTAGAATGATCGATAGAGATAGATAGATTATAGTAAGATAGTAGAGATAGGAGAAAGATAGATAGTGGATAGATAGAGATAGATAGAGCATAGAGAGAAGAGAAAGAAAGATCGAGGATAGATAGATAGATTAGATGATAGATAGTTAGATAGATAGATAGAGATAGTAGAGAGTAGAGAGTAGATAGAATAGTAGATAGATAGATAGAGTAGAAAGAGGGTAGATAGATAGTATAGATAGAGAGATATATAGATAGTTAGATATATACGGAAGGTAGTGAAAGTAGTAGTGAAGAAAGATAGATAGAGCTAGAGGATAGATGATAGATGATAGAAGATCTCCGTAGTAGATAGAAATATAGATTATGTTGTAGATAGTGGAGAGTGAGAGAGAAAATAAAAATAAAATTGATAAAATAAACAGTAAGTAATGTGTATTTATATAGCGCTTTTTACAGGCAAGTATGTAAAGATTAAAATGTTCCGAACAAAAAGAAGCTAAAATATTACTAATACAAGCAAAGTCAAGTACGAAATTAGGAGAATAAAAAAGAAATAAAATTTGTAAAAAAAAAAACAATGTTTAGAGGATGTGGGTTTAGTAGTTGGATTCAGTAAGACCGAGGAGAGTTATATTTGATTTTTGTTCAAGGGTTTAGTTTTGATGGTTATTGTTTTCAGATAGGAAAATAGGTTCTTATTTTAGTACTTGGAGATTAGTTTATAATTGATTTATTTAACTTATATGCATTTGTTTTTTCAAGTTCATACAATGTTTATTATAAACAGTTGTGATATAATCGTATAGAATGTAAATTGAGTATGGATTCAGGTGGTTGATGTTGTCCTAGAGGAGCTGGTATTAAGATAAATTTGAAATGAATTTTTTTACCAATTCTTTTTCTCTCCTGTGTTGTTGTTTGAGAGAGTGTAGAATAATTGGGTGAAGTGTCAGTTTGAGTTAAAGAGAGTCGTTGTGTTGGAGAGAGGGGAGTTTAGGTGAATTGGGTAAGTTTTACATTCAATTAGGATTATAAAAATTGTATGTAGTTAAAAGCATTTTTTGAATTGAGAAAACAAATTGGATGTTAGTTATATAGATAGAAATAAAATAGATAGGTGTGGAATGAGCGGTTCGGGGAAATGAGAAAGATGTGAGTGGAGTTGGGGGGGGGTAAAATTCATGACAAACAGAGCGGGAAAGCTTATAAGGCAAAAGTTTAACTAGCGAGTTTTGTTGTGATGTATCAAAATGAAGAGAGTCGTCTGGAAACCGAAGTTGTTTTGTGTTTACAATGTTATTTATCTTGTATTGTGAGATGTTGTGTGAGGAGGGAGTTGTTTTATTATTTAAAATATAGTTATTTTGAATTGTAAGTATTGGTAGCTATGTGTAAATGGTATATAATACATAATTAATTATATAGATGAATTTTATTTTTAATTTTGTGTGTGACCATATTATTATTATTATTATTATCTATTATTTATTATTATTATTAAAAAAAAAATTTTATTTTAATTTTATCTATTAATATTATAATTAATATTATTATAATATTTATTATTATATTTATATTAATTTTATATTTTAATTTATATTATATTATTATTTTATTTTATATCATATTATTATATTATTTTATTCTTCTTATTTATCTAATATTTATTATCATCTATAATTATTATCTTATTATTTTATTTTATTATTATATATTATTATTATTTATTTATTTATCTATTTTTATCAATTCATATATCTTTTTTATAATAATTATTATGTATCTATTATCTATCTTTATTATTATTAGTCTCGTCTACCTGGTTAAATGCTTGTTTTTGGTTTAGTTTATAGAAAATGTTGTAGAAATCGTGAGTTTGTGTGATGATTCAGATGGGATACTTTAATGTATAACATTTTGCTCTGAAATCTTGTGTGCGGCGGAGTGTGAGTGTGTGTGGGAGGAGCCGATCTGTGTCTTGGAATTTCGCAGTATTACGGAGAGGAGGTGAGGGTTTATAGTCTATTATGACAGCGTTTCGGATTTTGGTATTGCGAATTTATAGATGGGGAGTATAAAGAAAGAAAGAGGTTTTGTGGAAGTGGGAGGGTGAATTGATCATTGTTGTTGTGAATTAGTGAATGGGAGGCGGGAGTAAGCGAAAGAGGTATATTCTATAGCATTTTGTAAGTATGTTGGGATTCTTAATTTTGTATGTTTGGTTCTCGTGAGTTGGGTTACTCATATGGATTAGATCAGTTGAAAAAAGTGAGTCAGGATTACAGTGGAGTCTGGATTAAACTAGTAATGGATTACGTGAGTCTGGTTAACTAGTCGGATCTACAGCTGTTGGATTACAGACTGAGTTGGGTTAGTGTCTTGTTAAGCTGAGTTGACACGTGTGGGTTAATCAGTCTGAAAAAAGTGGTTGGATTAAGTAGTTGATCTACAGCTGGTTGGATCTAATAGTTGGATAAAGATGTGAAACTGTGATTTGGTTTAATAGTTTGGATTAAGTAGTTGGATCTAGTCAGCTGAAACACAGTAGATGGTTAAAGTCGTTTGATTCGCTGAGTTGGATTAGTGAGTCTGGGTTAGTCAGTCTGGATCTTGTAGTTGGTTTAGCTGAGTAGGATCTAGCTCTTAGATTAAGTCAGTTGAACAAATTAGTTGGGGTTAAAATAGTTGGATTAATCGTTGAAAACGTGGAGATGGTTAATGATTTGGTTTTACAAAACAGTTGGATACAATAGTAGGATCTAGTGGTGTATCTACAATGTTGGATAAGTGATTTGGTTAGTCGATGGTTCTAGTGTTTGGATTCAGTAGTTAGGATAATAGTTGGATAAGTCAGATTGGGTTATGTTGTCTGTGTGGAGTAGATTTCTTTCTCTTCTTGTTATGGGTTTTAAAGGTTTTTGTTTTTTCAGGATTGATTGTTTTTCTGATGCGTTATAAAACAACAAGAAAGTTATGTTAAGTGATTTTGAGGTTAGAGATGTTGGATTCGCGTGAATGTGGTTGCGGCTTGTTAGATCGAACAAAATATAGGGGATGGTGTGGGATGTCTTTTGGGAATGATTTAGTCCTTTTAGGCGCTTGATCGTGGTGAGATTGTCTTGTGACGATCTGGGTTCATCGTTGGAGATATTATATTTGGTGAGGTTGGAACACTAGGTACTATGTGAGGACGATGGGGGGTCTTGTTCGGCTGCTTGTGGAGGAAGCGTTATGTTGAAGGCGGGGAGTGGTCATATGTTTTGTGCGGTTGTTGTTGGGATTGGGGAAGAATCGAAGGGTTGGAGGAAAGAAGGGCGAGGTGGGTGGGGTCGGGGAAGGTGTAGGTGAGGTGGAGGGGGCCTGGTGGCGTTAGTTGAGAAGAGTGGAGAGAGAAGAAGGTAGGATAGATAGATGCTGTTAGACTTTTTGTTGTATTTAGTAGTGTGTAGGGAGTTAGGTATTTGACCTTGTGACTACAAAATTAGGCGAAAATTGGATTTTTGTCTTTATGATCAGAATGAAGAATTTTTAGTTGGTGAAGGAGAAAGAGTGGTTAGGTTCTTGCCAGTGAGAGGTCATCTACAAAGATTTCGAGGGTTTGGTGGGTAGTGAAAAAATAAAGAATAGGTTGGTGAGATGATTAATGGGAGATGGAAAAGAGTCTGAGTACACGCGACATTAAGTCAGCTTTAGTCGGTGATGGGTGAAGGTGAAGAAAGTTAAAGTAAGGTGAATTATAAGGTGAATAATGGAATGAAGGTGGAGTAATATAATGTGTAAAAGTATATGTGACTCTAAGAGCAAGGACGGTGTGGGGGAACTCTGAGAGCAAGGATGGTCTGAGGATTGGGAGAAGGATGGTCTGTGCGGACTTGAGGAGAAGGGATGGTTAGGATTTAGGAGGAGGATTGTCTGTTGGACTTGAGAACGAAGGGATGGCTTGTGGGATTGGGAGAAGGGAATTGGCTATGTGGGATTTAGGAGACAGGGGATGGTTATTGTGGGTTGGGAGAAGGGACTGGTTGTGGGATTTGAGGGAAGGAAGGTCTGTGGGATTGAGGAGACAGGGTATGGTATTGGGGAATTTAGGGAGTAGGGACTGGTTGTGGATTGGGAGCGGATGGTCTGTGGGGGGGGTGGGGGGTGGGGGAAATATTTTGAGGAGAAGGACGGTTGTGGGACTCGAGGAGACTGGAAGGCTATCTGGGAATATGGGGGGGGCTGGTTGTGGGAAATGAGGAGAAGGGATGGCTTGCTGGGCTTGAGGTGAAGGGCTGGCTTGCAGGTAGAGTAGGGATAAAATGGGTAGGTGTTTCAGATATGAGAAAATAAAAAATGCCAATTGAGATGGTTCTTTTGTGAGTAAATTAAATTTGATAGGTAATTTCAAGAGATTAAGAGGTTGGTGTGTGTGAATGGTGGAGGTGGTGGGAGGGGGGTGGCAAGTTGTCGTCAGTAGTGTTGCCGGGCAGTGTGGTCAGTAGTGTATGTCACAGTGTGTAGGAGTGAAAACTGATGGTTTATTATAATTTTATATTATTTTATTATTATTATTAATTATTACTGAGTAAATAATTTGAATGGAGTTAATATTGATAGATTAGTGAGTTTAAATATAATGTCGATTGTGAGTTAGCAAAATTACTAGGAATATATTAACTGTTTTTAAATTTGGGTATCACTTTTAAACAAAAAATAACTTTGTATAACCCATTACAAATAATTATTCTGTTTAAGGTCAATATTATCAAATAATACCCGAGTCTATTTACACTAGCTGAAGCAGCGGAAAAATTTGTTTTGCTTTAAGTTTATCACTTGTTTGTCTGAAAAAATTATTATGAAAGAGAAAAGAATAGGTACAGTTTTAATTGTTATCAACTTATGGGATGGTTTGTTTATGAGTTATTTGATTTTTTAGTCTGAAAGTTTGATTTCTGTTGTGTGGTGATTGAAGAAAGATTTTAGTCTTAAAGTTTTGTTGGAGATTAAGAATATTAATTGTAGAGTTATATATGTTTTTTTATAGAGTAGAAAATTGAATCTAATAGCTGGATAGAATTATATATTACGTTGTATTGTCAGATTTGTAATGAAATAAGTTTAATTATCTTTATATTATAAATGGATAGAAAATAGATTGGTGAATATAAGATGATAAGAAGAAAGGTATGTTGAAGGTACTGTATGGAGAGTTCGAATTGCTTGTTTTAGGTGGTTTTACGTACATTGGAAATTAAGATTAATTTGATAATAATAAATAATGAAATAGAAATAAATCATAATGAAAAAAAAAATAAAAAGAATGCGATTAAAAAAAAAATGGAAGTGAGAGCTGGGTTTGAGCATAATGTTAGTTGATTTTACAGAAAATTGATTTTTATAAGAATCTCAGTTATTGCTTTTACAGTCTTTATTTGCATGAGTTGAATAAAAAAAATTTTCGAGATATTTAGTAAAGCGTAATGAGTAGTGGTTTAGTTTTATGTAAAGTTGTATAGTTAATGATAAAATGATTAAAAAAAAAACAAAAGCCAAACACACAAAAAACACACAAAGGAATGAGTTAAGTGATTGAGGGAAGTTGCAATTTTTATATTGATGTTAATTTGGTTTTTGTGGATACTCGACGTCGTAGTCGGGATTTTTTGAACTTTTGCGGGAGATTGTTTTTATCGGGATTGATTTAGCGCGTTTTGTCGTTTTCACGTGTTATGCTTTGGAGATGCAGTGTAAGTAATAATTGATTTAATGATTTTCGTTAAAAATAGTGTGGATGAGGGATGAGGGGAGGGGGGGAGATAGGGGGAGATACGTTGGTTATGGAGGGAGAGGGGGCGAGTTTAAGTGGGTGGAGAGATAGGAGGGATTTAGGAGTGATGATTGAGTCATAACGGATATCTTTATAGCACGTGTTTTGGTATCATGAGTGAAAGTTTAGCAGGATTTGCGTGGAGAGCGGCGCTAAATAAATATATTCTTAGATGTATTTAATATTTATTTTTAATTGCGAATATATAAGTTAATATTAATATAAGACAAATTAATTGTATGGTTTAAAAGGTTGTATATATAAAGGTTGTTTAATACAGAATAAAATAATAATAATAGGTATTTTGATTGCAGTTTATTTGTTTGGACAGAGTAAATGTTTGATTAGAAACTTAAGGCATAGAAAAAGCTATTAATTTTCGTGATTTTTTAGGTTTTAGTTGTAGTATTAGGAGAAATAAATTGGTGGATAATTATATATTTTGCTGTTATTTATAAAGCTTTAGAATAAGATAATTTTTAATAATTGTTGGAATCGGTTACATAATAGATTTAATATTAGGTTAATAAGGATAGGGGAGAGGGGGATAGGACGCTGGAGGGATGATGAGTAGGTAGTGAGTTGGGGAATTTAGTGGTGAGGATATTGGGATCTTAGTATGGGTGAAGGGAAGGATAAAGATAAGAAGAGTAATTATAGGTATTTTTTGGAAGTAGATTAGGACATGTGGAGAAATTCCATTCTCAGGTGGAGGTGAAGACAGGATTTTTTGAGAGGAAGGAGGAAAATAGGCAACAAGAAGTTATATCTTAAGGAAGAGTGCTGAGCTGTAATGAAGATTTTATTTGTAGGCAGGTTCTCTCGGTACCGAGCTGGCAGAGCTTTGCGCTGCGTGGATGAGGTGGTATTTGAACTAAATGCTTGATGGTTTAAAATGGTTTTAAAGAGGTACTGATAAAAATAATATGAGTTTTGATATAAGATAGAAACTGTGGTGAGGAGTGTGAGTATCAACATGGGGAGTGAAGGAGGTCTGTTTATATATTATTAACTTTAAGTGATTGTTGTGTCTGTTTTTCAAAGAATGGATTATAATGAGTGTGCATACGATTATGAGGATTAAGTTTGCAGGTTTCTGTGCTTTAGATGTAAAGATGTGAGTCTGCTGTGGGATGAGGTTATCATATTTATTAATAAAAAAGTGTGATAATTATTATGAGAAGTTAGTAATTATTTGGTGCTATTAAGAGAACTGGGTGAAAGGATGAAGGAATAACATAGGAGGCAGGTTTGTTTATGTGTAAAATTGTAAAGTTTTGAAATGTTGAGGACAGTTTATTTTGATGTATAATGGTTAAAAAAGTTTGTCTGATGAAAATGAGATCTTAATATTAGTTTATTGATTAAATATTATTATGGTTGTGTGATTTTAAATGTTGTATTTTGTTTTAGTTTATGAATTGTGTTGAATGTTTTTGGAAAAAAAATTAAACTTTTTAAATTATTACTCTATTATTTGAAAAAAAACTTTGAATATGCAAGAATGTGTAATTCCTATTCATTTTCTTCGTTAGGTTGGGGGGGCAGAGTTAAGAAGAGACGTTTAAAAGTTAGAATTGGGGAAATCTGAGGCGTTAGCTAATATAATATTATTAAAACTTTATGTATAAATGCTGAAAGAAGAAAAACATGTGGGGCGTGTGTCTTGTGAGGAGGATCTGCAGGGCTTCGCAAATGGCAATTATTCGTGAGTAAGGTTGAGTGAGACGTGACGCTTCATCAAGACTGCTTGGAAAAAGCTCGTGATGCAGGGTTCATAACATGTTCTTGGATCTGGAGGTGAAGATGGAGAGTTCGGAGGCTTTTTGAAAATGGAAAAACGTGATTTGATTTAAAGGAGGTGAACGGAGATGAAGAGGATGGGATTGATGAGATGGAAGGTGGGTATGCGTCATGATTAAAGGCATATGTGTGTGTGTGTGTGTGTGTTTATTATAATATTTGAATGTCATTGATTACGAAAACGAAGGTGTTGGATAACGAGATTTAATGATGGAAGAGGGAGAAATGGAACATATTTGAGGATATGGACTGAAAGGGTAGTTGGTTAGTTTTATGATATTTGTGTATCTGATTTCAGGGATGATTAGAGGTGTTTAGTATGTATTTGGCTAGCAGAGGAACTGGGATTTTATGTGGGAGAGGGCGGCGGGGAGTCAATATTATATGTAATGGATGAAAGAGAAGTGAAACAGGGTATGAGGAGCGAAAATGTATAGTAATTTACTATATGGAATTTTGAGAAGATGTGTATTTTTTTTTTTTGTTTTTTAGATGTAGGAGAAATTTAAGTGGTGGGTTAAATGTTGTAGAGGGTGATGGTGAAAGGGCTTAAAAAAAGAGGTAATTAATTACTAGTATCAAAAGTGTTAAAATGTAGAAGATAATAAAGGGTTAATTTATTTCATTGTTTATTGTGTATGTAAAATTAAAAGAGGGTTTGAGATAACAAGTTGTGGATTTAAAGAAGATTGAGAAAAGTGAAGGATCTCATAAAAACACTTTGGAGCGTCGGTTGAATGTTTATTGTCTGTGTATGTCTTTTATTATTATTATTATTATTATTATTGCATTTTATGTGAAAACAAAAGGGTATGGAATTGAGAGAATAGGAAGGATGAGGTGTAGACAGGAGAGGGCTGTAGACGGATGCGGTGTAGACAGGAATGAGACTGTAGACAGGAATGAGTGTAGTGGGATGAGGTGAAGACGGACTGAGGTGTGAAGGATGGAGGTGAGAAGGAGAGGCGTAGATAGGATGAGATTTGAGGATGGGTTAGACAGGATGTGGCTGTGACCAGGCTTGAGGTGTAGATAGGGGATGAGACTGTGGAAGGATGGGTGTGATGGATGAGAGTAGATAGGGATGAGGTGTGTGGATGAGGTGTTGTCAGGAATGAGGTGTAGATCAGGATGAGGGAAGATAGGCTGAGGCTGTAGAAGGATGAGTGTAGCTGGAAGAGGTGTGACAGGAGAGGTTAGAAGGACTGAGGTGTGATAGGATGAGAGTAGCGATGGGGTGTTAGATAGGACTGAGGTCTGTGATCAGGATGGGAGTAGAAGATGAGGTGTGATCAGGATGGGTGTAGAAAGGAGGTTGTAGAAAGGATGAGGGGTAGAAGGTGCGGTTATAGGATGGGGTGTGATAGGATGAGGTGTAGAGGATGTCATACCTAATTTTAACAATTATGTTCTTGTGAAGGTGTGATCGAACATGTAGGAATGTCAGTGTAAGGTTAGGAGTTGTATCACCAAAAGGAGGCAATCATTCAAATGAAGAATAGAAAAAAGCAGGAAGAAGAGTTTGGATAAGACAAGGTTAGAGTATGAGAGGTTTACAGTATAAGAACGAGGTTGAGTTTCAGAAAAGGTTAGAGTTTTAGACGGAGGTTAAAGTTAAGACAGTGTTAGAGATAAGAAGTGCTAGAGTATAGAAGAGGTTAGAGTTTTAAGACAGAGAATAGAGTTTACAGAAGGTTAGAGTTTTAGAAGGGTTAAGTTTACGAAGTGGTTGAGTATAGAAGGTTAGAGATTAAGAAGAGGCTTGAGTTTACGAGAGATTAGGTTTGCAGAAAAGGATTAGAGATAAGCGGACTTAGAGTTTAAGCAGAGTTAGGTATAAGAAGATAGAGAATCGAAAAGTAGAGTTTAGCAGATGTTAGAGTTTACGAGAGCTTAGAGTTTAAGGAAGAGGCTTGGTATAGAAGAGTTCGGGTTTAAGAAAGGTAGGGTTTAAGACAGAGATTAGAGTTTAGAAGAGATTAGGTTTAGACGGTTGAGTTTAAAGAAGGATTAGAGTTTAAGAAAAGAGATTAGAGTTTTAGAAGTTAGAGTTTAGAAGAGACTTAGAGTTTACAGAAAGGCTTAGAGTTTAAGGGTCAGAGGTTTAGGTTTACAGAGAGGTGTTTAGGTTTCAGAAGGGTTAGAGTTTAAGGAAGAGGTAGGTTTAAGAGGGGTTAGGTGTTTACGAGAGACTTAGGTTAAGACGAGTGTAAGGTTTCAGGAAGAGGTGTTAGATTTTACAGAAGAGGTTAGAGTTTAGCATGAGACTTTGAGTTTACAGACAGGTTTAGCGTTTAAGACAGAGATATGAGTTTAAGAAGAGATTAGAGTTTAATACACAGGTTAGAGTTTAATAGAGATTAGAGTTTAGAAGGTTCGGTTTAAGAAGAGGTTCTAGTTTTAAGAAGGGTATCTTAGAGTTTAAGACGAGGCTTAGAGTTTGAAAGAGATTAGAGTTTAGAGTTAGAGTGTAAGACAGAGGTTAAAGTTTACAGAGAGGTTAGAGTTTCAGAAAGGGTTAGGTATAGAAGGGTAGAGTTTAGAAAGAGTTAGAGTTGAAGAAAGGTTAGAGTTTAGGACAGGACTTAGGTTACAGTAGAGATAGAGTTTACAGAAGGTTAGAGTTTAAGAACAGCTTAGAGTATAACGGAAGAGGTTAGAGTTTAAGAAGGATAGAGTTAAGCAGAGGTAAGTGTTTAAGGAGGATAAGAGTTTAAGACAGGTTAGAGTTTAAGAAGATACAGCGTTTAAGAAGCGTTAGGTTACGACTGCTTAGAGTATAGAGAGAATAAAGTTTAGACAGGACTTAGAGTTTACCAGAAAGGTAAGAGTTTAAGAAGGTTAGAGTTTACAGGAAAGTGTGTAGAGTTTTAGAAGGCTTAGGTTGAAGAGGAGTTTGAGTTTCAGAAGAGGTTAGAGTTTAGAAGCGGTTAGGTTAAGAGGAGTATAGAGTTGAAGAGATTAGAGTTTAAGACCAGAGGTTAGAGTTTAGACAGAGGTGTTAGAGTAGAAGAGGATAGAGATTCAGGAGACTCCATGAGTTTAGAGGTTTGGTTAGCGAGTTGAGTATAGCGGTTAGTGTTAATAGGTAGAGTTTTAAGAAGAGATTAGAGTTTAGACAGGTTTAGAGATTAAGAAGTGGTTAGAGTTTAAGACAGAGGTATTTAGAGTATAGAAGAGGTTAGAGTTTAAGACGGGGTATGTTTATAAGAGGTTGAGTTTAGAAGGACTTCGGAGTTTAAGAAGGTAGAGTTTAAGACGGGTTAGAGTTTAAGAAGAGATTAGAGTTTATGACGAGGTTAGGTATAAGAGGATTAGGTTACAGAAGGGTTTAGAGTTTAAGAGAGAATATAGTATAAGAAAGGATAGAGTATAAGAGTTGGATTAAGAGGGTTGGTTACAGAAGGGTTAGAGTTACTGAAGAGGTTAGAGTTTAAGACAGAGTTAGAGTTAGAAAGTTTAGAGTTACGACAGAGGGGTTTAGAGTTTACAGAAGAGATTGGTTAAGACAGGTTCGCGATTAAGACGTGTTCGAGTTTACGAGGTTAGAGAATACAGAAGGGTTAAGTTAGATAGGGTTAGAGTTTAAGAGAGGCTGTGTTTCAGAAGGGTTAGCGTTTAGCGAGGATCAGTATAAGAAGAGGCTTAAGTTTGAAGGAGGTTGAGTTTAAGAATAGGGCTTAGAGTTTAAGACAGAGGTTAGTTTTAAGAGAGGTTTGAGTAAGGATATATAGTTATTTATATTTTATCTAATATATACGTATGATTGATAAGAATATAAGATTTATAATATTATTAGGAAAGATTATTATATTGCGTTTGTTTCTTATATGTTAATATAAAGATTGTTTTTTTATGTAGAGTTATAGATTTTTTTATTATTGTGTTAAATTTGTTACAGCGGTATATATTTATTTGAGGTGTGTTCTTGATGTTTGTCTATGAACTGAAAATTAAGTGAGAAAATATGTTTCAATTGTTAACTTGGTGTTAGAAAGTATAGTAGATGATATGAGTTAAGGGAGGAGTGTTTGTGTATGTAATGTAATGTATGATTTGTAATGGCAAGAGGATTGATGATTGTGTAGAATTAAGGTTTAAATTTCAATTGGGAATTGAGGAGAATCCTTTCGGGGTAAGGGGGATGAGCGAGTAATAAGTGAATTGTGGCAAGTGGTGTTGTGGTAAAGGTATGTATAAAAATGGTAAATTTTGGTAGAAATGAGCAAAATGCCTTCGGTTATATTACCAAGAAATTTTGATTTGTTAAAATGATTGTAGTCGTAGGTGTTCTTGCGTAGATGTTTGTTTTGTTTGGGTTTGGCTTCTTGTTTGTCAAAGTATGCTCAAAGATGGGGTGATTGGCTGAAACTAGAAGTTTATTATAAGGGATTGGGGGCGGGGGTTGGGATAAAAAGGGATGTATTTGAGTGTTTGTGAATCACAAATACTGCGAGATTGTTGAGGGAGGTTATGTTTTTTGAGAATGGTCAATATGATTATTGCAAGAAACAAATTTTAAGATATAATGGAGATGCGAGTGGGATGTGAGTGGTGATGTTAAGTGGAGCTGAAACTAGGTGATGAAGTTGTGATGTAACAGTGGTGAAGTAACAGTGGTGATGTAAAGTGGTGATGTAAGTGCGTGAGTAAGTGGTGCAGTAACGAGAGTTGAAGTGGAGGTGATGTCGCAAGTGGTGATGTCATGTGGTGATGTCACCGTGGTATGTCAAAGTTGGTGTGTGTAAAGTTGTGATGTATTGGTGCTGTACCAGTGGTGTGTATGGTGGTGATTTGAAGTGGTGATGACACTGTGGTGGAAGACAAAGAGGTGATGAAAGTTGTGATGTAACGTGTGATGAACAAGTGGTGATGTAATGTTCAGGATGGCAAGGAAATTTGACTGTGGATGGAGCGTGTTTTAATCAGTATATTATGGGAAAATGGGAAATGGTCTTTGGAAAAAAAGTGGTAAGAGTTTTGGTGTAAAGAGAGAGAAGAGCGAGAAGAGAGAGGGAGGGAGAGAGGGGAGGAGGGAGAGATGGGAGTGAAGGAGAGAGACAGAGGGAGCAGGGGAGAGAGGGAGAAGGGGCCAGATGGAGCAGAGGGACAAGAGAGTGACAGAGAGGAAGAGGGGAGGGGAGTGAGAGAGAAGAGAGAGACGGGAGAGAAGAGGGGAAGAGATAGAAGAGAGAGAGAAGAGAGAGAGAGCGAGAGAAGTCAGCGAAAGAAAGGAGAGAGAAGAGAGAGATGGCAGTGAGGAAGAGAGAGAAGAGGAGGCGGACCGAGAAAGGAGGGGAGAGAAGAGGAGGAGAGTGAGAAGAGAGAGCAGAGAGGAGAGAGAGAGTAATCGAGAGAGAAGAGAGAGAAGCGAGAGAGAGAGAGAAGAGGGAGAGGAAGAGAGAGGTAGAAGGAGGAGCAGAAGAAGAAGAGGGAGACAGACAGAGAGAAGAAAGAGAGAGAGGGAGATCAGAGAGGGGCGGAGACAGAGAGAGAGGCAAAATTGGATAGTTGTGTCATGTTTCTTTTAATTTGTTTGCTGAATGGTGTATATAGATAAATGTGCTGGATGTGTGAAAGGTGTATATAGATAATGTGTTGGTGTGTGAAAGGTGTATTATGTAAATGTGTTGGCTGAGATGAAAGGGGCTTATTGATAATGGCTAGCTGTGTGAAGGTGCATATATAGATAAAGTGTTGGGTGTGTGAAGGAGTTTAAGATAATGTGCTTGTTGTAGTGAATGGTGTTATATAGATATATGGGATGGAGTGTGAAAGGTGTTAAAGATAAAATGAGTTTGGCTGTGTGAAAGGTGTATATATAATGTGTTGGCTGTGTGAAAGGTGTATATAGATAAATTTGTGGCTGTGTGAGGTGTGTTATAGATAATTTGATGGTGGGTGAATGGTGTTCTAGGATAAATGTGTTGGCCTGTGTGAACGGTGTATATAGATAAATGTGTAGGTGGGTGGAGTGAATGGTGTTATATAGAATAAATGTGTTGGTGTGTTGAGGTGTATAAGAAAATGATGTTGGTGTTGAAAGGTGATTAGTATAAATGTGTTGGTGTGTGCAAGGTGTATATAGATAAATGTGTTGGTGTGTGAAAGTGGCTATATGATAAAGGTGGCACGTTTAAGGTAATAGAAAAAATGTGTTTGTGTGAGAACGGGTGTATAAGATAATGTGTTGGGTGTGTGAAGGTGTATATAGTAAATGTGTTGGGGTGAAGGGGTATATAGATATATGTGATTGCTGTGTGAAGGTGACTTTTTGGTTTGTGAGGTGGTTCGATGTGGGGGGAGAGAGCGATGATGGGCTAGTGAGGAGCGAGCTGGAGCAGTTGTTGTGGTGGTTTAGGGCAGACGTGTGTCAGAGGTGACGGCATCGGAGATCAAATCAATTGCAGGTGAGGTATTCACAGATGTATGTATGGTTTACAATGTTATAATTATTTATATTGAGGTGGGTTTGTATTGATCCGTGAAAAGGTGGGAGGGGGCTAATCTTTTGGATTGATATGGGATTGAGTTTATTGAGTATGAGAGCGAGTGAGTGTTAGAATTTAGATTAGCTAGTTTAGTATGCTAGTTTAGATTCTTTGCGTAGGAGGTGGGGAGAAGGGAAAATTTTGCGTCTGACAGTTAAAAAATTCTTTGTGGTTCAGTTTTATATTTGGATGAAAGAAAGTTTTTTATATGATTCTGACAAACTAAATCAGGCAAATTCAGACAAATCTTGTGTCAAGACAGATACAAGTCCGCTCTTGATGGTGGAGGGGATTAAGAGGAAATGGAGCAAGGATATAAGAGTAATGTAGGAATGATCAGGACAGAGTTAAAAGAGTAGAAGAGTAATGTAGGAAATGATATGGAAGAGTTTACATTTTAAGGAAGACGGAACATGTAGGAAAATGTTATGGACAGAGTATCAATGGTAAGAAGAGTAATGGTGAATGATTTGGAGAGTTAAAATGGTAAGCGAGTACATGTGGAAAAGATATGGCAGAGTTTAAATCGGAAGAAGATGTAATGTAGGAAAAGATTAGGAGATTTTAAATGGTAAGAAGGAACAGTAGGAAATGATATGGACGAGTTATTAACTGGTAAGAAGCGTAATGTAGGAATGATATGGAAGGAGTTAAATGGTAAGACAGAGTATGTGGAAATGATAGGAAGCGTTTAAATGGTAAGAGTAGTAATGTAGGAAATGATTGGGACGAGTGGGTTACATGGTAAGAAGAGTAATGTGGAATGCTTATGGAGAGTTTAATGGTAGACAGAGAATGTGGAATATGACATGGAAGGTATAAATGGTAAGAAAGACGTATGTAGGAAATGTTATGGCAGGTTTAAATGGTAAGAGAGTACATGTAGGAAGATATTGAAGAGTTTAATGGAGACAGAGTAATGTAGGAATGATAGGAACAGCGTTAACTTGGTAAGACCGAGTATGTAGGAAATGTTAAGGACAGAGTTTAACATTGTAAGAAGATTATGAGGAAATGATGAGGTTTACAATTGTAAGATGATAATGTAGGAATGATAAGGACAGAGTTTTCAATGTTAAGAAGAGTAAGTAGGAATGATTATGGAGAGTTTAATGGTAGCAGAGTAATGTAGGTAATGATATGGTAGGTTTAAATGATAAGACAGAGTAGGGATGTATTTGGACTGGTGTGCGGATATATGGTTATGAAAGTGTTGGTCGGAACAAAATTGAGAGTTTTGGAAGAACTGGGGTAGTATTATTGTGTTAGAAATTGATTTAATAGGTAGATAATGGTTAAGATCAGATGGATATCTCAACTATTGTGTGATAGTCTTTGAACGGAGTCATAAGTTTAATTTGAAAGTTTTACTCTTTTGATAATATATCCAGAATTTGATTGAATTTATGGTGTGTAATTCATGAGTTTGTGGAATTAAAGGTGGACATTTTGAGGTTTCTTTTTGAGAGTGATTTGTATTGTGGTGTGCATTCGGATGTTTTATTTACGTGGCCAAGATTCTTGTGGAGAGTTATGTGGTTATCAGACAGATTGTGGACGTTGTATTGAAAAATGAAAAAATATTAATGTGTGTTTAAATCATGTTTAGAATATGTTATAAAATAAAGATTGAAATCAAAATAGGATTATATTTACCTGAGTAGAGGAGCATATGTTGGGTGGGTTTTAATTCAGAAGAAGAAGTTTTATTGTGTGGTAGGGAAGAGAAAAAACGAAGGAGTGATTATGAGGGGATGGAGCCTAATAGAAGTTCAGTGATGTAGTTGGTTGATCGAAAACCAAGGGCAACTTATGGTTAGCAATTGTAGAATGTTGAGTTTATTCAAAAGTTGTAAAAGTGTATGAAATACAAAACTTAAAAGTGATGAAAATTGCATCTATGATAGCTTGAGAAAGAAATGTTATGAGATATCGTTTTTTTCGTTTAATAACGGCTAATAATTTGGGTGTTTTGGTTAAAAGATCGGGTGGAATTTAAGGAGTTTTGTATAGTGGTGTGTTATGAGAGGAATGGGATGATGAGTTTTGATAGCGTGTTTAATGTTGATTGTGTGCACTTGTTATCAATAGTTTAATAAACGTGATAATGGTTTTTTTTTGGCTTTTTGAGGTGAGGGTTAGGGGCTTTTCGGGTGTTAGGAGTGCGTTCGGGGGGTGTGGGTATGGGCGGGAAAGTGAGAAAGATGAAGGGAACTCAAGTATTGAGTGTTGATTAGAAGGTGAAAACACAGATGAATTGAAATCTGGTTTGAGAAGAAATAGTTGGATGGTAGATGGAATGTAAAGAATATAAAAGCAGATAATTTCTCTAAATTAATCGATATAATTATTTTATCTAATATCTTTTTCATCATAAAGTATTATTCTTATTATAATCTATATATCAGATTATTAAGAATTATGTAATGGTATGAACCAATAATGGTTCTTTTGTTATTTAAACAAGCTTAATGTTTTATAAAGTATACATGATTATTGTTTTATGGTATTAGTAAAAAAAAAATTATAAATTATTTTTTCATCTTGGATTTATTTTATTATTTCTTAGAATAAAATTATTTAAGTTATAAATTATTCTTATGGGGTTTGTCTGTAAATAATGGACAAATGATTATACTTATGTTAATATGTAAAATCTTTGGTTTAAGTATATTTTGGTATTCTATGTATTTTTTTTTTGTTTTTATGTTATTTTGGTTATAAGTTTCTTTCTCTGGTTTTGTTTTTTTGGATCTTATCGTTTTTTCTTTCTTCCTTGGTTTTTGTTCACTTTTTTTGAATTTATGTTTTATCTTCTTCTTGGCTTTAGTTTTCTCTTTTTTATGTTTTTTTGGTTCTTATGTTTTTTTTTCTTTCTTATGTCTCTTTTGTTCTTCTATGTTTTTTTTTTCTTCTTGGCTTTTATCGTTTCTTCTCTTTTGGTTCTTATTGTTCTTTTTCTTTTGGTTCCAATGTTCTTTCTCTTGGTTTTATCGTTTTTTTGTTTATGTTTTTTTTCTTTTGGGTTCTTATGTTTCTTTTTTTGGTTTTTATGTTCTTTTTTATTTCTTGGCTTTTATGTCTTTTTACTTCAGGCTTATCGTTTATATTTTTTTCTGGTTTAATCGTCTTTTCTTTCTATTTTGGTTTAATGTCTTTTTTTTTTTCTCTGGTTTTATCGTCTCCTTTTCTCTTGGCTTGGTGATGGACGTCATGTAAGTAGAGTAATAATTAGCTGTTAAAACTTGGTTTTTATCTTTTGTGATCTGATTGTTTATATTGTGATATATTTTCTTTTGGGGGAAATAGGGAAATTAGTAGTTAGTTGAAAAGGGATTCTGTTGTTGAAAGATGGAATAAATGGAGTAGGGCGTTGAGGTGAGCAGAGGTTGTTTGGGTGTGTTTGGAGTGTGGGAGGTTTATGAGGTATAGGTGGAATTCAATATTTTTAAAAAGTGTGCAAATGTTAGAAACTGAAATGAGGTACTTCATTTGAAGTGAGGTTTTATTTAAATGAAATTTGAAGATTTCCATGGGACAAGACATGTAGTTGATTTTAAGTTTTTTTTATTGTATGGAAATTTTTAAGGTCTTATTTCTTTGTTGTTGTTGTGAGAGAGCTTAAAAGAGATTTGGTGGGACGATAACAAATCTTGAAAATGGATAATGTCTTTGTATTGGAGGATCTGGTGAATGTGACTTACGATAAAAAAAAAATTAAATGATTATCATGTTTGGGTGAATTACAATTAGGGTGATGTTATGGTACAGAGGGGGAGGTGAAAGTGATGATATGAGTGGGGTGAGGGGGTGTGAAGTCAGAGAAGAAGAAATTGTGAGTAGATGTGGTATGGTCTGAGTGTAGGTTTATTGGAGGAAAAGGAGGGAGGATTTAAGGTAGCAGATTGTTTGCGTTTTCCAAGAATGAGGAAATATAATATAAATGGATAGAGAGGATAAAATGGATTTTTTAAGGTGAGTGGTGAGTGTGACTATCGATAATGGAAGTAATAGGAGCATGCGAGAGGAGAGAGAGAGATAGAGAGGTAGAGAGAGAGAGAGGAGAGAGAGAGGATTAGAGAGAGGCAGAGAGAGAGAGGAGAGGAGAGAGAGGATGATATAGAGAGTCGAGAGATGAGGAGAGTGAGCTAGAGATAGAGGAGAGTGAGGAGGGAGAGAGAGAGTAGAGAAGAGGAGAGCGAGAGAGGGAGAGGCGGGACAATAGAGGCGGAGATGAGGAGGAGAGAGCGGGATAGAGAGAGGCATGAGAGAGAGAGGAGAGAGGGATAGAGAGAGGGAGGAGAGAGAGGATAGAGAGAGGGCAGAGAGAGGAGGGTGAGAGGAGAGAGAGGAGAGGAGAGGAGAGTAGAGAGAGGCAGCGGAGTGAGAGAGAGGGAGATAGAGAGAGGGAGAGAGAGAGGAGAGGAGAGAGAGAGAGATAGAGAGAGGCAGAGGAGAGAGAGATTAGAGTGAGCGAGAGAGAGAGAGAGAGGTTTGTGAGAGGCAGAGGAGAGAGGAGATTGATAGAGAGAGAGAGAGGAGATAGAGAGAGGCATGAGAGATGAGAGGAGGAGAGAGAGATAGAGAGCGGTAGAGAGAGCGAGAGAGGGATAGGAGAGGAGAGAGAGAGCGAGGAGAGAGAGGAGGATAGAGAAGAGAGGCAGAGAGAGAGAGTGATGAGAGGGCAGAGATGAGAGAGGATGAGAGAGGAGAGAAGAGAGAGGAGATAGGAGGGAGAGAGGAGAGAGCGAGGAGGATATAGAGAGGAGGCCAGAGAGGGAGAGGAGATAGAGAGAGGCAGAGGAGCGAGAGAGAGATCGAGAGAGGGAGAGAGAGAGAGAGAGAGAGATAGAGAGAGGTGAGAAAGACGATAGAGAGGAGGCGGGAGAGAG